AGGGGTCCCCATCCACCTCCTCCCTCAGACCCAGGGGTCCCTATCCCCTCCTCCCTCAGACCCAGGGTTCCCCATCGCCTCCTCCCTCAGACCCAGGAGTCCCCATCCCCTCCTCCCTGAGACCCAGGGGTCCCCATCGCCTCTTCCCTCAGGCCCAGGGGTCCTTATTCCCTCCTCCCTCAGACCCAGGGGTCCTTATTCCCTCCTCCTCCTTCAGACTCAGGGGTCCCAATCCCCTCCTCCTCAGGCCCAGGAGTCCTGGGCCCCAGCCCCTCCCTCCCTCAAACCCAGGAATCCAGCCACCTCCACCACCAGAAGTGGGGTGTCTGACCTGCCCTGTTCCGTCAGCGGAACCCTGTCTTCTCCTGATTCCCCCACCCAGGGCTCCGCGCAGCTATGTCTCTCCTCCTGCTGGTGGTCTCTGCCCTTCACGTCCTCATCCTCATCCTGCTTTTCGTGGCCACCTTGGACAAGGTAAACGGGCTCTGGCCCCGCCCCCTTTCCCTTTGGAAATCCCTACTTTCCCCGCCCCCCTCCCCACCTTGCCCCATGGCTTCACCTTTTCCTAGCCCCGCCCACGGGCGCCCGACCCCGCCCACTTCCCTTTCCTAAGCCCGCCCTCTCTTCTCTGTCCACCGCAGTCCTGGTGGGCCTTCCCCGGGAGGGAGTCCCTGAACCTCTGGTACGACTGCAAGTGGAACAGCAGCACGGACATCTGGAGCTGCGGTAACGTCAGTGAGAATGGTGAGCGGGGCGTGGAGGGAGCGCCAGTCTTCTCCGGGTCCCGGGAACCCGATTGGGAACCCCCGCCTCTCCAGGGAGCCGGGACTCCCGGGTTTGAGGGTGGAGGAAGTGAGTGGGTTCGGGTGCCAAGGCTGAGTGAGTAGGGCCTGTTCAGGATCCATCCATCTGGGATCCTACTCCCAACTCACTCATGGGCACCAAGTTGGTTATAACTCATAGAAACTCTGCAGGACAGGGTCGAACTGCCCCTGTGGGCTTCCCAGCACTCTTAACTGTTGATGGGAGCAAAAGGCCTCGCCTTTCTCCTGACACACAGCTGTGGGTTTGAACTGCTGGCCTTCAGGGTAGTGGTTCAATGTGTAACCCACTCTGCCACCAGAATTCCGCTCTCTTGAGATAAATCAAACCCAACCCACTGTCATCAAGTGGAAGCCAATTCCACACCTTATAGACCAGGCTAGAGCTGCCTGCTGTGAGTTTTCAAGACGGTAACTCTTTGGAAGTCAAAAGCCTCATCTTTCTCCCTCAGAGCGGCTGGTGGTTGCAAAGTGCTGACCTTGCAGATAGTGGTGGGTTAATACACTAGACTAAAGGGCACGCTCTGAAGGGCCCACCCACCCACCTAATGATTCAAAAAAGGGTGTAGGCCACAAGCTACAGATCTCTAAGGACTGGGAGGTAGCCCCCAGGTTTCTGAGGAGATGGAGTTAGGTCTCCAGTGTTCTTTTTTTAAAAAAAAAACATTTTATTAGGGGCTCATACATCTGTTATCGCAATCCATACAGACATCAATTGTGTAAAGCACATTTGTACATCATTCTCAAAACATTTTCTCTCCACCTAAACCCCAGACATCAGGTCCCCATTTTCCACCTCCCTCCCCGCTCCCCTCTCCCTCATGAGCCCTTGATAGTTTATAAATTGGTGTCTCCAGTGTTCTAAGGAAATGAGGCTGGTATTACAGATGGGGGTGCTGGGGTGGAGATGGAGCTCAGGTTCTCAAAGTTCCAAGAAGGCGGGGCTAGAATGTTGGTAAAGTTATAAAGGGGTGGGGCTAGAGACACATCAAGGTGCTAAAGCAGCAGGCTTGCATCCTCCCAAGTCTCTAAAAGGAAGGGGCTGAATCCTGCCAGGGTTCTAAAGGGTTAGAACCCAATGCTTCTGAGTTGGGAAGCCGTGAGCCCACATCCCATCTCTGATTCTAAATGAAACAAGATGCAGAAGTGCTTCCGCCTCAAGATAAAACATTTCTTTAAAAAGTTGGTTCCCATGACCTCGCCTCAACATTGTGGAGGCAGCCAATGCCGAAGGGCAAGAAAAAGAAATTAGCATAAAGGTTGGAAAGGAAGCTGTCTCTGTCCTCCATCATCCCAAAGAGGGTGCCTGTTCACGTAGAGCATCTTAAGCGAATTTGACACGCAGCTGCCAGAACTGATGAGAGCATTGAGCAAGGTCTCAAGATGCCATTGGTATCCAAGGAGGGATATTGGGGACTTCAGATTTTGGTGGGGGGTAGACATGGAAAGAGAGAAGGCAAATGATGTGCATATAAAAGGGGCAGGGCCTCTGGATCCCCCACCCCCCCACCCCCTATGACCTCCTCCTTTTCCTCCTCCTCCTGCAGGTTGGCTGAAAGCGGTGCAGGTACTAATGGTACTCTCCCTCATCCTCTGCTGCCTCTCCTTCATCCTGTTCATGTTCCAACTCTACACCATGCGGCGAGGCGGGCTCTTCTATGCCACCGGCTTCTGCCAGCTTTGCACCAGTGAGCACTAGCCCCCCACTCCCACCCCCCCAGGGACTTAGGGGATGGTCGGGAGGGCACGTGACAGGACGTTGGGGCCCTGCAATGGAAAGAACCTCCAACAGCTTAAGGACCACCTGAGGTGCCTCTCTCGGTGGCCACCCGTGAGAGATTGATGGGAGTTTTTGGTGACTAATTGATGGCCCAAGTGTGGGTCCCTGAATCCGGGGGAAATTGGCATGTGAGACTCAAGGAGCCAGGACTGGGAAAAGAGGCCTGGGCAAGTAATTTAGGTCCCAACGATGGAGTGGGGCTGGGGAGGGGGCCATGAATCACCAAGAGAATTTTGAAATATCACAACGCCAAACATTTCCCACGAAGTCCCTTCTGACTCTTGGTGGCACCATGTGATGGAGTCAAACTATGTGCGCCCTCACGTTTTCAAGATGAAGCCGCTTCAGAAGCCATTGGCCAGGCTTTTCTTCCTCAGGCACCTCAGGGTGGGTTGCGAACCACCAACCTCTCAGCTTCTCTGTTAGTAGTTGAGCCCTTAATCATCCTGCGCCACCCAGGGATGTCCGATTCACCAGGGTGGCGGTATGATAATGGCAGCCAGCAGAAACATGGCTGCCCTGGCATCAAAATAGCTGCTCCCATGCTCGCTGCTGACCCTGGGCCCCACCTGCTGTGTACCAGACACTTCAGGGGGTTGGACTTCCCCTTGTTTCTTAGACTTCAGGTGCATAAGACTCCCTTAATCACAACGCGCTCCCGCACGCCCCCCGCCTCCCACAAATGAGAAACTGCGGTTCGGAGTTGATTCCGATCAGTTGAGATCTTATAGGACAGACTAGACCTGCCTTCAAGGTTTTCATCTTGATAGAAGCCGGTTGCCACATTTGTCTCGCTGGGAGGATCAAACCGCAGACCTTTCTGTGGCGCTGTCCGGCGCTGAATTACTGCGCTACCAGTCTGCCTTTCAGTTCACCATAGTCCTCAATTCGTGGGCCAGTAGCCTCCTTTTGCTTTAATTATTCACGATTTGCTTGGGGGGCAGGAAAAAATCTATGCAGTCGTCCTATTGTTCGAATGGGTAGCCAGGGACCCATGGAGATGAAACTGTCCAGAACCTCTCTGAAATAGGCTCAGGGCATGGCGCTGGGGGAATGAACTACAACTCCCAGCAGGTAGCAGAGTCCCCCACTCGTCCTTCGGGGCTTCGTTGCCCCGGGGACTTGTGGGAAATGTAGTCTTCTTGCGGGCCCGGCGTGACGCGCTGTTTCCTTCGCCCTGCAGGCGTGGCGGTGTTCACCGCAGCTTTGATCTACACCCTCCATGCCCGGGAAATCCTGGGAAAGGAAGCCCAGGGGGGCAACTTCGGCTACTGCTTCGCCCTGGCCTGGGTGGCCTTCCCCCTCGCCTTGATCAGCGGCGTCGTCTACATCCACTTGCGGAAGCGAGAGTGAGCACCTTGCAACCCTCGCCGCTCCCAGCCCCTCTGCTTCACCCGAAAGCCCCCACTCCCCAACGTCTTCCAGAAAATAAAACCATCCAACCGCGGACCCTGCCTTCGCCTCCTTCCTTCCTTTCCCCAGTAGCCCGGGCTGCTTGCACCTGGCCGCTAAGGTAGAGGGGGTGGGGTGGAGGGGCGGCAGGATTCCTGCAACCGTCCTTCTGGCACAACCCCCAAGCCTCTCATCTCAGGACCCCGGAGCCCCACAGCACGCCTGCACCTGGCCCCCGAACTCCAGCTACTTCGGGCAAAGAACCAAACCCCGAGGATCTGACTCAGCAGATCCCATCCAGATCCAGGGCTGCCCGGATTCTCTTCTCTGGCGCAGGCTCCGTCCCGCCGTCTCTTCTTGGGACCTGGGCGTGTTATAACATGGTTGGTCTTCAGTTCTCTCTCCTCTCTGACTTTCTGACCCCCTCTCTAGAACTAGAATGGGACCTTTTCCTTCTTGGGAACCCAGTTTCCCTCCCTCCCTGGACCCCCACCACTCTTCTCCCTTAGGCCACCGCTGGCCCTCAGGACACCTGAATACAAGGTATATCCCTCCTCCTGGAAGACCCCTGTCCAGACCAGAACGGTGAGAGCAAGGGGCACCAGCTGAATTTTATTCCCACCCATAGGCCCCCTCTGCTCCGTGGGAGAAAGATGAGGCAGTTTTGTTCATGTGAAGATTTAGAGGCTCAAACTCTGAGGAACAGGGCCACTCGGTGTCACTCTATGAGGTCACTATGAGGCGAACGTGACTCGATGGCAGTGGGTCTGGGTTTTATCGGTGCCCTTGTGGTGCAACGGGTAAGCGCTCAGCTGCAGACCAAAAGGTCAGAGGTTTGAGCCCACACCATGGAAGAAAAGATCCTACCATTCTCTCCCCCCACGGTGACCCGCCTGGGAAACTCTAGGGGGGCAGATCTACGCTGTCACAGGGAGAGTCGCTGTGAGTTGAGAAATCAACAAGATAGCACCTAAGCAACCACCTCCCCGGGCACTGTACCTTCGTGCAGTGACCAGCCTGAACTGTACACAACCACCCTAACCCGTTACCCAGCTCAGGGAGACACCCTGGGGGGATCTTCTCAGAACATCGGGGCCTCCTCTCTTAAGACTCTTCTCTGGCCCACTCAACGCCCTGCCACCGAGTGGATGCCAACTCACGGCGACCCTATGGGGCAGTGCAGAATCGCCCCTGCGACTGTCCAAGGCTGTAAATCTTTATAGCAGCGAGAAGCCTCCTTTCTCCCCACGCAGCACCTGGTGGTTTCAACCTGCTGGCCTGGCGGCTAGCAGCCTAATGTGTCACCAGCTAGGTCTCCGGTTTCTCGGACCCACGGTGTGTCTTTTCGCACCAAGAACCCAGCCTGCCTCTGGCTCTGTGGCTTGCGCTTTCAGGGACACACCCACGTCTATTAGCCACCCCCACCCCTACCCCACCCCACCCAGCTCAAGGACTCCCGGAGAGCCCTGGCGTCCTTTCACATCCCGCAGGCCCCTCCACCCTCATTGGCCTCACCCCACTCATCCAAGGCTCATACAACATGATTTATTCCTTTGGGTGGGGTTAAGGGCTTAATGGGTGCTCATAAATATTAGGCAGGCCATTCGCTGGCAGTGGGGCGCTCCGGACCGAGGTAGTTTCTGTTGGAAGAGTGAGGGACCCGGGTCAGGAAAGGCACCAGAGGCTGCCGGGAGCCTGAGTAGGAATGAGTCTTGGGGAGAAGGTGGTCTCCAGTTCTCACAGCCTTCCGCCTGGCCCCCGGGGCTCCCGACCCCTTCAGCCTGGACCAGCTGAGCAGCAGCTGACCAGATGGCCTGCGGGCCACACAACAGCAACTGATGCGAAGATCTGGTTTCCTTTCGGCATCTCAGATCGGTGGTTTCGGATTGGTGGTTTCAGGGCAGCCACAACTGGCTTGCCCAAGTGGATGGTGCCCAGCAGCTGTCGCTGGCAGTTTGCCAGGGGCAAAGGGCTTTCATTGGCTGCCGGCTGGGGCCCGCTTTGCGCACAGGGCGTGCAGCCTGCCGGCTAAGACAGTTTTGCGTAGCCTCCGGAGGGCACCGTTGAAATGTCCCAGGCAGTTTAGACTAGACGCTGCTGCGCAGCTGCACGCGGCTGCCACCGCCCTCCTCTCACCCCCTCCAGCCCAACGGGGCACTTCAGGCGGGGGGTGGGACTAAGCAATAGCTAGCCTGGCAACTGGGGACCGCCCTGACTGGCCGCTCAGCCTGACCCTCAGGTGAGAGCGTTGGGGCGTGGCTAAGCAGTGGCTGTGATGGACAGCTTGTAAAAGAGGCGGGGTTTAGTGTCTAGCCAGGTGGGTTTGCAGGTCCCTGCCTCCAGGATGATTGCAGTTATAAGTTGTCACTGCGTGGTGGTGTGGCCTGGGGAGGTTCAGGAAGGACCGAAGCCAGAGGGTCCAGTTTGGGGAAGCCCGGGGGCGGGTAGATTCCGATGCTGGGGGTCAGGACTTGCAGGTGGGCCAGGGCCCGCGCCCCGTTGAAGGCCACTTCGCAGCCTGACTGGGCCAGGAGCCAGCTCTCCACCTCCGACTGGAGCCACCGAGACGTCTCTGTGGGGCGGGGAGGTGGGGTGGAAGGCAGGTAGGTGTGAGTAGATTCAAATGGGAGGGGTGCAGGGCAGGAAATTGGAGGCCTGGGTCTGGGGGAAGCCTGAGAATTCAGGAGAGCTGGGAATGTGACAAGGGGGGTGGGCAGGAGGCTCAGTTTCGGGGAGGTTCTCCTCTGGGAGGAGGCCTTGGGCTTAGAGACAGTCTGGGTTCCAGGAGGGACAGGGCTGGTGTGTGGTTTTGTCTTCTGGGGGGACTGATGTCAGGGGTCCACATAGAGAGGGAAGGGTGCGGCCCTCACATATGGGAAGGAGAAGGGAAATGATAAGACCGGCGTTCCACTGGGGGGCCCCCCTGGAGGTTGGGGTCAGAAGAGGGATGTCCGGGCAAGGAGGAACCAGGTAGAGGGGGAGTGAGGTCACCTGGGGAATCGGTCAGGTTTCCCAGCAGGTGTTGGGAGGGTGGGTGAGAGAGAAGTAACAGGGGGGCAGGTAGCATGGCCCTGGCTTGTCACTGAGGGGGGGGTCTCAGTGGGAGAGCATCAGCCCCATTGGGGCAGGACTGCATTTCATCCGGGCAGCCAAGGGGAGGCGGGGTCTCCTGGGGTAAGAGGTAGCAATTGACTGAGCCTGTATATTGTGGGTGGGGCTGTACCACTTGTGGGCGGAGCCTCAAAATGCTAAGGCGGGGCCTCTTTGTAACAAGGCGTGGTTCCCTGGCAACTGAGGGGTACATCTCAGATCCGCCGAGGGCTTACCTTGGGGTGGGCCGCTCATGGCCTCTGGGTGCCGAGCTAGGAAGCTGTGCGCCAGCAACGCCTCCTTGGCGTGCTCCTCCTGGGCGCGCAGGGTCAGGGCGCTGAGCAGCTCCGAGTTGTTGGATGTGCTGCGGTAGTAGAGCATGTGCGCCAGCTCCAGAGCCTGCATGCTGCGTCTCTGGCCGAACATCTGCAGCAGGACAGGGGGTCCTCGGGTACTCAGGCCCCAGCCGCGGTGGGGGGTGGGGCGTGTCCAGCTGACGCCACCACCCATGCGCGCGCTTCCTCAACCACCACCCCACCACCGCCAGCTGACTGGATTTCTCCCACAAACTCACGGGGCTTGGATTGATAGAGTGACATACAGGTTCGCACCCCACTAACTCCCAGGCCAACCCCACCCTATAGATTTCAGACATCAAAATCGCACACTGGATGGGTGCTCTGGGTATGGATGGAGGGACTGGGAGCAGGAGCAATGACAAAGGGTGGCCTTGAGTATAAGAACACCCACTGCGGCAACAAAGCCCACATGGAAGAAGCACACCATCCTGTGTGACCACCAGGTGCCGAAGGGATCCGTTATCAGGCATCAAAGAACAACAAATCATATCATTGTGTGCTCACCTCCCAAATACAATTGCTGAAGACAAATGGGTGCATAAGCAAATGTGGTGAATAAAGCTGATGGTGCCTGGCTATCAAAAGATATAG